AAGTTGGACGACAAGTCTCGCAACGTTAGATGCTGTCACGGCATTTTGACCTATCACGCCTCCAATATTTATATTACGAGGACGTCGAAGCCAGCAGTAATATACGTCTACATTGGTCAGGTTGACCGGCCACAAAAAAGTACTAATTTTCTCCGTTCAGGATTCGAAGCAAAGTTCAATGCAGAGAGGTTCTGCGTGGATCTTCAATGAAGGCCCTCTTCAGTTTGTCTCCCTGCTGCCGGCTATAGAACCATTTGGCTAAGTTTAAATAGTATGTCTCCGCCTGTCAAATATACTTTTATTCAGCAGCTCACCTAATAGCTAGTCAACTGAGCTCATATTTCAACCCGAAGGATATACTAATATCGCTTTAGTGGGACCCCCCCCCGTAGTACGTAATATAATACATAACCTGCTCGTCAAAATGACTTCTCGATTGCTACTAAAACCTGAATTGAAATACGAGTATCAGCTGCTTAGTGGGGCGCCGGCGGGTTAACAGGGTCCTTGGCTCAAGAAGCGGTTGCTTAATTTTCGAAATTTTCCTGCAGCCTGTGTTGTTGGCCGAGCAGACGACTGGAGCTGTTTCGTAAACGCGGATACGCACAAAAGCTCGATTTCGCGGACAGATAAGTCGCATGGTCGAAGCATGCGAGTTAGCTGAAAAGTTACTCTCTGTGGAACAATTCTATAATCATCGCCGCTTACCTTAGATGATCAAAACTGATTAGTATGTTACCGTCTCTCCGGAGCCCATAGTTTCGGTTTTGAACGAAATCTCCGAAACGAAAGTTTGACACGAAAAGAACAAAAAAACACCGGCAAAACAAAACTATGCTTTGCAAGTTTATCTGCACCGGCTACACTTAACCGTCTCAGTTCAAATACCCATAAAATTGGGCATTAAACAAAAGAAAATCTGTTAAATTGAACGCGCCACCTGTTCAGGCGGCCCGGCCGAGCCGCCGCGACCTGGACTCAGCGGCCATGTTTGTTTGGTGGTGGCGCCCCCTATAGGTCGCTGGAGTCGCGAATAGGGCGCGCGGCCGCAGGAAAAAGGAGAGGAGGAGCGCGCCGAACGGTGACCAATATGGTAGCGCAGAGCAGAAAGGGCAGACCTAGACAGCGAGCGCTTGGGTCATGAGCGGCCGCTCCCCGAACCACGCTTGTTTTTGTGTTTTCGTCACCGTCGTCTTCGTACTCCGGGAGAAACGGGCGCGGCGATTCGAAAGGGCGCAGGGAGAAACGGGAAAGGGTGGACGTTGAGTTTCTCCTCTCCACGATAGCGACAAGAGAAAAAAAAAAAAAAAGATTGCTTCTGCGTTTGGCCGCTCGCTCTTTTCTGGCGCTAGCGGGCAAGGTTCTCTCCGCTCCCGTTTCTCCGCCCCTCCTTTCCCATTTACGGCGGCCGTCTTTTCACGCGACGCGCCAGGCTTTCTCCGTATAGAGGAGGCTATGGTTTGAGAAAGTGGGCACCATGACAGAACAGCACACGACATAACAGCACGCGACAAAACAGCACGGTCAAAACAGCACGGTCAAAACAGCACGCGTCGAAACAGCACAGCGTCAAAACAGCACGGCGACAAAACAGCACGCGTCAAAATAGCACGCGACAAAACAGCACAGCGTCAAAACGGCACAGCGACAGAAGAGCACGTGCCAAAATAGCACGGCGTCAAAACAGCACGACGTCAAAGCAGCAGAGCGACAAAATAGCACAGCGTCCAAACATGACATTGTCAATATAGCTAGAGTTCGGCGTTTTCGGTTTGTATTATTTGAAATTCCGCGCACTTTTTTCGGTTCTTATTTCAAACAAAATGTTTAGGTTAATTGCAGTAAATATTTGTAGACTCGTAAGCTTCTGAGTTATGTAAGGTTTATTAACGAAAACCAGTATACTAACGAAAATGCAATAATTAAAGGCGTTTGTGTAAAATGTATATTGAGCACCAGGTACTGGTCTTCTTATTTGTTGGCGTCTTTGGCAGCCGACGTGACCTCTCCTGTAAGACGCATTAGGGCCTTATCATGATCTGATATTATCGTCGTGTGCTCGTATTTGTACACAGGACGAGCATGAGCTTCAGTACCACTTCGGTCGGAAAGCGGTCGGAGAGGCAAATATCAAAATGGAGAAATTAGCAAGCATTGTACTCCGTGCGCTTCCCCCCATTTTCACGACTGCGAGAGGTGATAAATTCGTGCCGACGGCAGAAATGACAATAAAATACTCGTATTTATGCCCTCCTCTAGTAGACGGAAGCTAGGGGTGTTAAAGAATGCGCGGCATTCACGGACGCTCTTGATTTCCGTTGTTTGATTTCACGATTAAACCCTCTTCTTTTAAAAAAGAATTCGGCACAGATCCCTATCAGGTGAAAAACCCAAATTTCGTCCTGAAAACCCCCGCGCCCCCGCAGCTTTTGTTGAAAGTTGAACCGATCTCGCAGACAAGCTGAAAACTTCGAAAGAAAGTGGTCATAAGGTCAGTAATGTGTAGGGTTCCGTGTTTTCGGAGTTTAGTTTTCGTCAAGTTCGGAGAGTGTTTTTCTGAGTTTCTTTTTTGCTGAGAATTCGGAGTTTATCGGAGTTTATTTTTGTTTGATTCCGAATTCTCCGAAATTCGGAGCTCAATTTCGCAGTGTTTCTTATTAAAAATAGCAAATAATATCCAAATTTAAACGTATGCTGGACAAAAGAAGAAAAAAAAAATGCGATTGTGTCAATTAATATTTTCTTCAGTTGGGTTTGGCGTTTGTGCTATTACTACTGGCAATACTAATTTGTCCTAGAACAAAAGTGGCACACAAGTGTTATTTTGATAAATGTCGATACCTTAAAATCGATACCCTACTGGAGGTAGTTGCTGGGAAGCCTGTATTCATTCCATGCTATTCCATCAACCTACCGCGCGGCCGCAAGAGGCAGAGCGGAAAAGAATGAAATAGAGACGTTTAACTGTCCTCTTCCCCACTTTATATAATTTCTATGGTCCATAGCTTTCACAGTTACAAAAACACAACCTCTCTTACCTATCAGGCACAAATAGTATGACCCGAACCGGAAACATAAACAGTGACTTTTGTCATGACCTGATAGTACAATGACCTGTTGTCCTGACCGGAATTTGAATGATACATGTGGTGGCATTTTCTCAGGACCATTTACTCTACGCGCTGATTAAACCATTAATTGTAATATATACGTGTGTGTGTGTGTGTGTGTGGGGGGGGGGGGGGGGGGGGGATTGGCACGTCGAAGATCAGAGTTTATCAAATAAATCCGAATAGACGAAACTTTTACCGGCGGGTAACACGAAACCCTAGTTATGAGTCACATTCTCTCCCCCCCCCCCCCCCACACACACACACACGCACCACTCCAAACGCCCTCTAAAATACTGAACTTTTTCAGTTAAGACCGAATGGGCACCGCAGAATCGGTGCCCATGGTACACCTTGAATACACTCCACATTAAAGTCACCTTATCTTACCGTTTCTATCAGTGCATCTGTAATCAGCGCATCTCCCGCTTTCTTCTTTTTTTTTTTTGGGGGGGGGGGGGGGGGGGGACGTTCTACGCTTAGGTGGATGATTACAAAACCAGGAGTACTACGGAACCTCACCGGACCGCCACAAACCAGGTAGTTCATACCTTGAACTTATGGATATCCTTTTCCCAATGACTTTTCCTCTTTCCCTGATACTTCAAAAAAGACCAGACAACGCAGCCATCATCGACGCGAACGTATCCCTTCTAACTATACCAATCTCTTCAGAAATTAGCGTAGTTAAGTAGTAGTAACTATCGCTAACTTTATTTGTTTTTAGCAATCACACAGCAGCAGCACTCGGGACACTGACTTGAGTGCGATCCCGTCGCCGCCAGCGTACTTTTTTTTTATTGTTTCTCCACTATCTGTTAAATAATGCCATGCAATGTCCAACCCCTTTTTTTTACGTTCTGTTTGTTTTCATAAAACGCTACCTATTACGGCCTTTTGACATGCGTGCTGTTTTGTCGTTGTACTGTTTTGACGCTGTGCTGTTTTGGCACGTGCTCTTCTGTCGCTGTGCCGTTTTGACGCTGTGCTGTTTTGTCGCGTGCTATTTTGACGCGTGCTGTTTTGTCGCCGTGCTGTTTTGACGCCGTGCTGTTTTGACGCGTGCTGTTTTGACCGTGCTGTTTTGTCGCGTGCTATTTTGTCGTGTGCTGTTCTGTCGCGTTCCCGAGAAAGTGTTCGGCGAATGTGTCAAAATTATAAGAAATTTAGTGTTTAAGGTACTGTTATCTCTTCTTCTACTGTTTCTATCTCTCTCTCTCGTTTAAGGGAGTAGCTATTAAAAAAATAATATTTAAATTCTGGTGCATAACCCCCTACATGTTGCTATGTATTTAATATATTTGCTTCGTAAGCCGCGTTCGTTTTCTAATATATATATATATATATATATATATATATATATATATATATATATATATATATATATATATATATATATATATATATATATATATATATATATATTTAACCACGGGGCTTTCCATTCCGTCGGTTTAATACGAACTCAAAAGTTTTGTAAGAAATGTGTTTCAGAGATGGGAGCCCATAACTACATACTTTCACCACCCTTAATTTGAGTAATACACAATTTTTATTCGCCCAATACAGTGCCCTCACATGGAACATCCTTGACATATCGCAATAGTCTCTGCTACCCCCTTCCCCCCCCACACACACACACGCACACACGCACGCACGCACGCACGCAAGCACGCATGCATGCACAAATATTTGCGGTTTGAGTAAACTCGACAATTTTGTAAACGGCTAATGTTGAGAAAACATAAAATCGAGCTTTCGACGTATTCACCACCACATGAAACTTTGACAAGACGGGCCGAATTAAAGTGAAAACATTTCTTAATGCTTGCATTCCGATTGGTTTCTAAGACGTAGTAACCTGTAACAGACAAGGGGGGGGGGGGGGGAGGGTACTGCGACGTATTTTATAAACGGCTGTTTATTCACTGGAACAAGAGAACGTCAATCAGCACTGAAGTTTCAGCTTGCGACTTTATGATAAATCAGATACTATAGTTATCGGCCCCTCTACATGTCTTTCCAGAGGCTCATTACGTCGACGCCTTTAAAGGTATCCTCAATCTTCGCGCGCATCTTTGCGATGTTTTCGTCCGTGAAGTGTTCCTTCCAGTCACCCACGTTTCCATTACGAACAATTTTCACTTCGACCGGTTTGTCGGATTGCGTTTCTACACTAGGGTTATTTACAAAAAGGTTCATGATCTCATGAGTATCCGTTTTCATGAAAGTTTTCATATAGCTAAAGCTGCACTTCTCAAGAACACTGTAGAAAACTTGTCGGTCCTTCTGGAGCATGAGTCCGTACTCTTCCCCCAAGAAGAACGCCAGCCGGAGAACCACGTCGGCTGTGTTTGCTTGGAGCCCTTCGTAAGTCACGAAGAAAACGTTGGGCTGGTCCTTGAGCTTGTAGCCCGAGAGTACGTGCTGAAACCAGTCGCCGCCACCCGTTGTACCTTCGATGAAAGAATCGACGCAGTCGTCGAAGAGTCCGTCTTCGAAATTGAGGCCCGGCAGTTCCCGGAGAAAGTAAAACATGGACAGGCAGCAGTCCCACGGATTCCGGGCAACGTAGACGTATTTGGCCTTGTCGTTAAACTGAATCTTGCCTAGGGGAAGGTGCGTCCTAATCAGTCGCGGTGAGCTATTGGACAGCTCACCCGAGAACTCGATAAAGGGCGCCCTTTTGGCAAGCTCGGCAAACGTCTTGGCTGACTCTCCCTTGTTCAGAATCAGCTGAATGATCTGCTGGACCCAGTGAGACCCGCATCTGGGAAATGTAGTCTGAACAATGTCTCCATTTTCAGGAACGAACTTCAGGGCCTGTCTGTAGATGTCTGGCAGTATCTGAATGGAAACGTTGTCGCCGTCTATGACCTGGTAGGTTGGGCGTCGCTTGGAAGCTTCCATGTCTCTCTGACTGCCAGTGTCTTCTTGCCCCTGGAAGGTGTATCTGCGGGTAGACATTATGGGACTGTTGTAGTCAGGGAAGAGGGATACTTTAAGAACTGCACGGTCTACGGAGTCAAGTGTGATGCAAAAGGTGACACTTGATATTGTTGATGTTTAGACAGCAACCCTTGGCTGCCCTGAAGAGTGGCAAGGTGTACCTTTGAAATAAGAAACAATGCCGACAATATTTGCTTAAATGACTACTGACGACCCCGACGTCTACAGGCTGTGTTAATTTGCGGCTAGGCCTTCTAAAACGACGCGAAAATCGGTTTCTTAAACTATTGCGCTACGATTTTGTCCAGCGTTGCCCACAGGTGGTGCATGTTTTCGATAAAATTTGCAAAGAGCGAACTTGCCTGGGAAAAAAGTAAAAACAAAGAAAAAGCATTAGCTTCTTTGGAAACACAGCGAAGCCCCCGGTCCTCAAACAATAGGGCGCCCCTCTTGGAATCTACCCTCACGGATTCGGTGTAAAAAATAGTATCTATTATTGGTCATGTAAAAGTACCTTTTGAAATATATTTTTGTTTTAACTCGTTTTAGAGCGCAGCTCTAAGGCGCCCGTTTCCGGCTTGAGCGGTGTCGGCGTCGCCGTCGGCGTAACCGCGCGCTGCATTGTGGGTAAATTTCCCCGCTAAATCTAGCGGAAAATTTTCCCCGCGAGATCTAGCGGAAAAATTTCCCCGCTAAATCTAGCGGAAAAATTTCCCCGCAAAATCTAGCGGAAAAATTTCCCCACTAAATCTAGCGGAAAAATTCCCCCGCTAAATCTAGCGGAAAAATTTCCCACTAAATCTAGCGGAAACATTTACCCGCAAAATCTAGCGGAAAAGTTTCCCCGCTAAATCTAGCAGAAAATTTCGCCGCTAGATTTAGCGGGAAAATTTCCCTGCTACATCCAGAGGAAAAATTTCCCCGCTAAATCTAGCGAAAAAATTCTCTGGGGGTCACGTGATCCCCCCCCCCCCCCCCCCCCCCCGAGGTCACGTGACCACCCACCCCCCGAGAACACGTGACCCTCAGTTCCCTTCCCTCCTCAAGAGCTGCGCTCTGATTCGGCGTTACAGGGAGTTGTACACGGCTTTCATTTGTTTCTTTTATTTTTTACGACCATGCGAATTTTGCGGAAAACAAAACTTAAGGGGTAAAAATCACAATTTTTTTTTTAGAATTGTTAAAAACAATTCTATAAAATGCAGTGCAAAACAAACACCGCTTTTGCTAGGTAAATATATTCTTCTGAAATATGCAATATGTTTGAAAGGTATTTCCGAGTGTTTTAAGGGTTCAGATCCGTAAAAATTGTTCTGTCAAGCTGATATTCACCTTTTATTTCGATAAACGCGGTACTATATGCAAAGATTCTCACTCCGAGTGGATCGAATTGTGTTCATTCTACTCCCATCTTAAGTTTCGTTCTCCTCTTCTTCCTTATCATTATTTTATTGCCTCCGGCACATTACACACTCCATGGTTTCAGTTTTCATCCCTCATAGGATGGTACGAGATGATAAATCCGATTGCACTGAGCTCCATGATGCTGTTCTGTCCTTGATAATATGGTCTTCGGGAAGCCTTGTTGTTTGGTTGTTTTTGTCACCACATAAGGCCCGGAGAATGTAGCCTTAGGGCCTCGGAGACCTTTCCGGACCAGGACCATGTCGCGTGGTTGGATTTCTAGGATTGGGTTGTGATGTCAAACAGCATAATTTCTATTTATAATCTGTACTTCTTATGGTCGCTGTCGCTCTTTAAAGATGACTTTGTTAGTTTGGCCTAAAATATGATCAGAGGGTAACCAAGAGCTCTTTCCACAAGCCGGGAAGTGCGGGCTATGGCCCGGCCCAGCAGTGTGGGAGGTTTTGTGGTGCGCAACAGCTGCCTCAAGCGTACACTTCCATCCACCTCGAAGATCTGAATAAATCTCCAGGAACCCTTTGATGTCTCGAATTACCCTCTCGGCCAGCGAGTGTGCCTCTGGATGGTAAGGAGCAGGGAGCCTTAGCTTGATGTCTCTTGCATCAACCCACGATTAAAGCCTTTGCTTCTAAATGCAGGGCCATTATCTGCACCATATCTTCGGTTGTTTTAAAGGCATCTCGCTCCACGAGGTAAATTACGGTGTCTGCATCGTCCTTGCCAGCGTTGGCGGCCACGATTCGTGAACATTCATCAATGGTGACGAGAAACGCTTGGGTTCTCTTGACGTCTTCTACTTCTTCATTTCTGCAAAATTAAGATGGACGGTTTCAAAATAGCACATTGGAATACTTACGCATCACCATTTGATTCCCTATTTAGTCTATACTTTTCCGTGTTGATTTGGCTCGCATGACATGTCCGGTTGTAATAGACTAGATAAGTCTTCATGTCCTTCCTAGTGAACCCCCTTGTTATTTTCAAGTAGGTTCTCCAGAACCCATCGTGTCCTCCCAACTCAGGGCTATCGTTGTAGAGTTATGATAGGGTGGGTACATTTTATTCGGCCTCGTGATAACTTTCGTTTCGAAGTTTTATGTATTGTGTGCCTTTCCCAATGCCTACGTGATTGATGCCTCCATCAATGGTTTGCTTTGGGATGTGGAGTCTCGATAGGGTATCTGCATCAGGTAGTTCGTCTCCAGGCCGAGGTACAACGTCGAAAGTAAATTATTGTGCTTCAGTAAACCTCCTGGCGAGGCGCCCTTTTGGTTAAGATAGGCTCAGAAGGTGGGTCAGTGCACTCTAAGAAAAAAAGGAGCGTGCCTTGCTCCCTCAAGGGAGCAAATGCGCTGACACAACCATTGGTCCCCTAGGGGAGCAACGGTGACGGGAGCAACCATTGCTCCCCTACCGTTAGTCCCTCAAAGTTGAACCCCCAGGAGTAACTTTTTCACCCTTGCATTTATGCCCCTGGGACTAAATGTTGCGCCCTTACCTTATTTAGCACCAAATTGCACGCTTACACACCCAGGTGGCGCTAGTCAACGTCAAATTCAAAGTTGGTAAAAAAATATAGTATCGCCGGGGTAGATCTTTTCCGCGCTCATTACATTCACATACGAACAACGCTTATTTCACATTTGCACACTTTATACACATTTCAACATAGACAAGGAATTAGAACAAAGATGACCACACACAACACACGCGACGACACGCTATTTCAATCGTCACACCAAAGCCTACCCATCCGCCTTTTATACTGATCATATGAGAGGAGTCGTTTTGTCAGTGACCATCTCAGCCGTGAATGATGTTACAAATATGGTGCTGCTTTCGCACCAATATTGTTCTCCAATATTGTTGCTAAACTTTGCAAGGAGTGTATCTCTTACTAAGAAGTAACGGTACGCACAGTAATTATTTGTGACAGTCTATAAAACAGCGTCCCCATAGGCTCCCAGGAGCCATGTTCTCGCTTCCCCGCATAGCTTCCCCACTGCGCGCATGCGCGTCTCCGTGGCAACCCCAAAGTCTCTTTTGAAAAAAAAAAGAAAAAAAAAAGATTGGGAAGAATACAAAAAGAAAAGAAACCAGAATTTATCTTTTGTGCCTTTGGAAACTTTTTTACCGCGTGCTAAGTGATAAAAACATTTTTCTACGTTCCACTTAAACCATAAAGAAAATATGAACGCTTTCAAAGCACGTTCAAAAGTATGCAAAGGGGAAGGACGCCAGGACAATGCTCAAAAGCGGCATGGCCAGTGCATCAACAATGGCTGCGCTTGAGTCAGCGGCGGCTTCCACGACGTGCAGGTGCGGAGGCTGCGATCGTTATAAAGTCAGCTTCAACCCTTAAACATGCCGCCTCTTGCAATTTTTGATGCTGCGATTGTCTGTGGATACCTCCCCCTGCGTTCCGAAACAGTAAGTGCGTCGCTAACGCTGGCCATCGGCGATGAACCAGACGCCGCCATCTTGTCCGCACGTCTTTTGCTCCCGCGCTCTTGCTCCTACGCGCCTTTCGCTGCTTTTGCTCCTGCGCTTTTGCACCCGGGGCTGCTTTTGCTCCCGCGCGCCTTTCGGTTAGTCCTGGTCAAGTACATTTAGTCCCCAGCATTTGCGCACGGTACCTAGCTCCAACCAGATGGTCTCTTCGGGGAGCAAATGGGAGTTCAGAGGACCAAATGCTGCCGTTAGTCCTTTGAGACCATCTTTTTTCTTAGAGTGCTTGATTGTTCCTAAAAAGCCCCCCACCCCCCTTTCGAAGTGTCAGAGAGTCCCGACTACTGCAGAGCTTCTTTCTCTGTTATAGCATATTTTTATTCTGCTTTTGAGAGTAGTGCAGGAGTAATATCCTATAACGTTGAACTGACGATTTGGTGATTCTGTTATCCGCCTCTGATACAGAATGGCTCTCGTGCCATACAGTGACGCATCTGTGAAACTTCAAACGGCAGGTCGTGGTCTGCCAACACTAGGATGGGGTCTGACGAGATATTTGTGACCTCATTGTACACACTCTCGCGTTCATGAGACCAGATGACCGGGACTTCTTTTTGAGTTAAGACAGCCAAGCAGTCTGTGTTTGTAGCGTAGTCTTTATGAACGCTCGTAAATGTCCAGACAGTCCAAGAAACACGCGCAATGAGTGCACGTCATACGGTTTAACCAGTTGAGAAATTCTCTGCACAGACTCTTCCTTGGTACTTTTTGTTTGTCCACCAAATAGTGCTCAAAGCAAACACAACTCTATTCTGAAAGAATTCGCTTTTCTTGGCATTGATTCTGAGTTTCGCTGCGCCTAGTGCTCCTCGAACTTAGGTCAGATGGTCGGCGTGCTGCTTTTCTGTTTGTGAGTAGATGATAATGTCATCCACATACATATTGCAGAAACGGCCCAAAATTATATTAGGAAAATATTCATCATCTTCTGAAACCAGGCTCCAAAAATCTTCAATTGAAATGGTAGTCTGCTATACTCATAAATGTCGAAAGGTGTCACAATTCCTGTGAAATTCTTGGTATCTTCTTGTAGAGGAAATTGCAAGTAACCCTTATAAAGATTG